TCTATTTTTATTTTTCTTTGACTCAAAAATTTTGTTTTAACCTAAGAAGATCCCCATATAAAAAGTGAGTGTGATTGTCACCTCATGGATATTATCAATTGTATGAGTCAATTCTTACACTGCTGTAAAGAAATACCTGAGACAGACTAAATTATAAAGAAAGAAGGTTTAATTAGCTCACAGTTCTGCAGGCTATACAGGAAGCATGGCTGGGGAGGCCTCAGGAAACTTACAATCATGGTGGAAGGCAAAGGGGAAGCAGGCATGTCTTATATGTCTGGAACAGAAGGAACAGAGAGAACAGGTGCTACACAGTTTTAAACACCCAGATCTCATAAGAGCTCACTCACTATCACAAGAACAGCAGAGGAGAAATCTGCCGCCATGATCCAGTCACCTCCTACCAGGCCCCATCTCCAACATTAGTGATTACAATTTGACATGAGATCTGGGCAGAGACACAGACCCAAACCTTATTATTCTGCCTCTGGCACCTCTCAAATCCCATGTCCTTCTTACATTTCAAAATACAATTATGCCTTCCTGACAGTCTCCCAAAGTCTTAACTCATTCCAGCATTAACTCAAAAGCACAAAGTCTCTACAACCATGACGTAATCTCCTCCTGGGCCCCACCTCCAACATTGGGAATTACAATTTAACATGAGATTTGGGCAGGAACACAGACCCAAACCTTATCATCAATCAATTCAGAATACCAATACAGAATGTTTTTCATTGAAAATCAGTTTATAAATAAATGGTGCAAGGAATTTTAAAGTAATGCATTAGCCATGGATACCTGAAGTGCTTAAAACAATTTTTAAAAACTGATGGGCTAAAAGTTGCTATGAGAAAAACATTACATAGCATTTTCTAAAACTGTTCTGTTTTATTAGAATATGGTTTAAATGGTGTTAGTGGGGAAAGACGTGTCCCCTTAGGGATTGTCAGAAAGAATCAAAAGCAGCTTAGCAAAGAGACAGAAATGTAAATGTGATATTTATCAGGGGAAATGAGGGTATGATTAAATACAATGAAACCAGCCTTTATGTCAGAAAATAACTTAATGAGGAAGTCATGCTTGAGGTCTTTTTGTCATCTTCTGAAAGACTAAGAGGCTGGACTGGCCAGGAATGGCCTTCACCAGAACTGAGGTAGGAAGAGTAGGTTGAGTTTATTTCAAAGGTCAGGTTCAACCTCCTGAAAGTCCAGCTGAATTAAAGTCTTCATTAAATTCATGAAAGGATACAGGAATCACAGCCTGGCCTCTTTTAACATCACTGTCCTGGAATTGAGTGGAAGGTCTGTCTCTAGTTCTGAGGAAGGCAGGTCCTGAGGAGGTGACAGCTTCTAAGTCCACAGCTCCTGCTTGCCTTTTTGAGAGCTCCAGCTCATCTAGCAGGTCTTGCCTGTTTCACATCTTTGGAGATAAAATATTCTGTAGCCTTCATCTCCTCCCCTCAAACATGCCTTAAATAAATACAAACTTTAAGTTAAAAATGTATTAGAAAGATTGTCTGTTTTATTGGAAAGCACTCTCAGATTCTAAGATGGATACAGATCGCTTGAGGGTCTTGTTCAAGTGCAGACTTTGAGTCAGTGAATTTGGAGTGGAGCCTGAGAGTCTACATTTCCAGTAAACTCCCTGGGGCAGGGGATGGGTGACTGGTGTCACTGGTTGAGGGGTCATACTTTGAGAAGTAAGGATCTAAAAGTTCTGGCTTCTGACAACCTCAGTTTTCTCACTTGTAAAATGAAAGGCTTTGGATGAAGATACCTTTTAAGTCTACCCGTCTGCAGCATCTCAAAGCGCAGACAGCAGAGAAGGCTGGCGATTGTCCAGAACGTGATCTCTGCTCTGAGTTTTCAAGGACTCCCCGTTTTATAACACTGTGAAGCTAAATAGGAAAAGTGAATGCAAACAGGGAAGGAAATACAGTTTATAGTCTGACAATCCCAGAGTGATTACAATTACTCACCTGATGCCTTTGCCAACATTCAAAGGTTTGGCTTTAATTAGATCACACAATCCACAATTGAACATTCTAATTGTGCAGTGTTTGTCTCAAATAAGCTATTGGGTTGGATTAATTCTTTCCATAGTATGCCCAATGGAACAGTTCAATTTTCAATACAAATTAAGTGTAGTCACAAAAGGGATCTTGGTTAACCTGCATTGCCCCAGGATCTCAGATGCACTTTCTTTAAACACAACAGGGTTGAACTCAAGCAGAAACTAACACCCAGCTACAGACCTTGCTTCACGAGCCGGGTGCAGTGGCTCACGCCTGTAATCCTAGCACTTTGGGAGGCTGAGGTGGGTGGATCACCTGAGGTCAGGAGTTCAAGACCAGCCTGGCCGTCATGGTGAAACCCCATCTTAAAAAAAGAAAAAAAAGACCTTGCTTCACATCACCTGGTTCCTGGTTTGCACATAACAGGGGTTCCCAAGTTGAGCTTGGTAGAAAGAACAGTGGCAACATTCAAAATAATTAATAACAAGAATAGCCATGGGATCAAAATAACATGTTTATAGCTCTAAGCATTACCCTGTATTATCAGGTTTTAACCCTTTAGTTGCTGGATCAAGTCCAGGATTTCCCAGTGAATGGGGCCAGGGCAATTGAGCCTGGTGCAATGGAATATCAGCCCTGAGAAAGACCTCCAGGCTTTAGTCAGAGAAACGTCATTTCACAACCCTGGCTAGCCACTTAGTATCTGTTAGATCAAGTTGAATAACCTCTCTGAGCCTCAGTTTCCTCATCTGTACAATGGATTAATAATAGTCACTTTTCAGGACTGTGATGAGGATTAAGTGAACCAACAAAAGTGGCTGGCACAAACAGATGCTCACTCAGTGAAAGTAGTAGCAGGGGCTGTTTACTATTACCATTAAAAGATAATATGTGGTTATTGATTGAATGCAGACAGCTTGTGTCTGTGTTGCCGATGCTTTCTGTAGTCCGATAATTCAGGTGGACCACATAAGGTCTTTGTTTACTGTTGCCATCATGGTGGCTTACCACAGGACTCTGGGGCTATGGGGACGGGGGGCGGGGTGGCTCTGAAGGATGTAAGGAGAAGGGGATGGGGGAAGCTTTGCTTCCAGGGCTGGAGCTTTAAGAAAGGCTCCCCAGTCTTTAGATCACAGCAGCCACAGGCCACTCCTGATCTATAAAAGCTCACTTTCTGATTTGTAGGCATTTTAAAATACACAGATATTCTTATAAAGAAGCTTAGCTAGTGGTTATCTTCTGAGAAGCATGAGTGGCAAACTTGAGCATGTTATGCTATAAATAAGAGATCTGCTACATAGGCATTTCCCTGGGTGAATCCTTCTGCTTTTGGAATCCCTCACGTTGCACCGATACATTCTCTAAATTGTCTCCTGGACACGCACTGGGTCTCATGATATGAGTAATCTCTATTGAGAAGGATGATCTGTGCGTAGTCAATACCATAGTAAAGAGAAAAATATACCCTCCACACCCAAGCAAAGGTTGACCACCCCAGTCTCTGTGGTACCCCAGTCTAAATAAAGACAGCTTTTATTTTGTCTTCTTTTACAATTGCTCACAACATTCACCATTCACTGTAGCTGAGTGTACTCAGCTATCTGCAAAACATCATCCCTGTATTATTGATGTGAGGGTCATGAAACCTTGCCAAGAGTTTTCTCCATATTGCTCAATTAACTGTGTGTTTACCAAACTAGTTTTAGGGTAAATGTTTAAGATAGTTCCCAAACTAATCTAAAGCAAAAAATAAACTAGTGGGTTTTTTTTACATTTTACTTAAATGCTACGGAGTATCTTGAATGTGCCTTTGAAAATGATTCTTGGGTAAAGTATCAGAAAAAGTAGAAATGGAAACAGAAGTAGTAGCAGTTTGCTTAGTGCTACTTCCAGATACAACAAACCTTCATTTGTTATTTATGCCGTCTCCTCTAGACATTTCGCACCCTGGTACAAACCCTCTTGAACTAACATTTGCCACATGGAATATGATTTCATCCTGAGAAAGATTCTGGCAGAGCCTACAGCAGGTCTGCTTTTCTATTTTTTTGTTTTTATTTTTATTCTTTTCATTTTTCCTTTTTTCCTCAGATAAAATATGATCACATGGTTAATTCAGGTGAAAAAATTCTTAACCATCATTGGCGAAGGTCTGTTTTTTTTAGAAGAAAGTATATTAGCAAATTCAAGTATGTAATATATCAAGACAAGAGGAATATCTATCTGACTCTGGATTTTCCATTTGTTGCCCTTAGGGACCAAAGCCAACCATGATAAATTTATTATTTCCCATCATACTAAAGTCCTTTTCTTTCCTTTTACCCCCTGACTCCAAGAAAGAGTCTTCTCTTATGGGCAAAGTTAGAAACTATTTTAAAATTAACTCGTATAATCTCTAAATTCACCTCTCCTAACTCCCATAAAAGCAAGGGCTTCTAGGCGGGACCACGGAGTAAGAACCCATGGAGTCCTCTAGAGGCGTCTTGAGAGTCTGGCATTGGCCCAGGTCATTGGCTATAGGCAGAGATTTGAAGCAGTCTGGAGGATCCACCGTGGCCTGGGAGCCCTTCACTTGGTCTCCCATCTTGGCCCTATCATGGTGCTAGGCTGGGCATTTGGACCAAAGGTAACTTGACTGTGGGTCACATGCAAGGATGGCTCTGTATGGTGATTTCTCATACCTGTCTGCTGTGTACCCATCCCCACAAAAATGGACTGGAACGTGACCATTTGGTCTGCCTCTACATGCAGTGGTAAAGGAAGAGACTTCTCATGAGCCCATGCAATTGGTCATGGCTGATGGTAGTCCACAGAGCTTACTTTTCAACTTGAAAGTGGATTATTGTGTCCTGAAGGTGATATTTTTAAAGGAAAATTTTTCCATGCAAAATGCTGAATGTATTTTGTTCCTTGTTCACTTGCTGTTACATGTGTCATTGACTCCCAATCTCTGATGTGTTTCTTTGTTTTCTGTGTGTTGCAGGCAGCATAGTGTACCTCGGGATGATGGTAGGGGCGTTCTTCTGGGGAGGACTGGCAGACAAAGTGGGAAGGAAACAGTCTCTTCTGATTTGCATGTCTGTCAACGGATTCTTTGCCTTCCTTTCTTCATTTGTCCAAGGTTATGGCTTCTTTCTCTTCTGTCGCTTACTTTCTGGATTCGGGTAAGGTTTTCTCCTTCGTATTTTATAGTAATGTGTTTATTCTTTGTAAGTGAACACATTCTCCACTCTAGAGAACCTCATTAGCAAGAAATTATCCCTTCACATATCTCCTTCCATATCCTCATGTCAGCCCTAGAAGCCACAATGCCGGTTCTTAGAAATACAATTATCAGCCTTTAAATCCAGGAGAGAAGGGAACACACATCTATATTTTCATAGCTGATTGTTTTAGTGTTTTACTTCTAGAAGATGGGTATTGTTTTCAGTGGAATGCCATTTCTATGGTAGAACATATCCATACATATATGCTTCTGAAAATTTAACTTAAGCAGGAAATCGCTCTGGTCCTACCTGTTATGAACGAATTCAAGGTTTGAACCATTTGAGTGTGCTCTTAAATTCAGGATTAGAGTGTCTCAAATAAATGTGGTTTTATTTATCTATGTTAAATTGGCATATTTAACTAGACAGAAAGCCTCCTTGAGACGTAATTTTTAGTAATTTCCTGACTTCTGTTGAATTAACAGAAGTTGTGCCATTACCCAGATGCAGTGGTATAGTGTAGCCGATGGTGTAGTCATTTTCTTTAAAGCGCTTAAAACACTTATTACCATGCTAACTGAATCCATAAGCATAGAAAAACCTAATAGCTCTATAAGGAATATATGAGAAACTTTGTTTCAATAAGAAAAAAAATTGTAAAACTATAAGATTTTTGTAACAAACGGGTACTAGGCTTAATACCTGGGTGACAAAATAATCTGTATAACAAACCCCCGTGACACAAGTTTACCTATCTAACAAACCTGCACATGTACCCCTGAACTAAAAAGTTAAAAAAAAAGAAAAAAAGTATATATGTATATAATTTTTGATTCATGATTGAGAACTTAGAGACATTTTTTGAAGATATCTAACACAAACTGAATCTGTATGAATAATATACAATTTTTAGAAATTAATGAAGAAAATAAGAGGAACAGAGCTAGGTTATAAACTTTAAAAGCTATCAGTTGTGGTTGTTGGTAATACACCACCACAACCTACAAGGCTAGAACACAGCTCTGTGAAAAGAGGTCAGAGGACTATAGCATGTCTTTCTTAATTATGTATAATAGCATTTCCCATAGCTCCTCATAGCTACATTCTGCACACAGTGAGTACGTAGCAATTACTGGACTAACCTGCACAAATTTTAGGAGCTTTCCTTAGAGTGAAGACAGTATATTTCAGTAAACCAAGATGGCTGGAGAGTTTGGAAAAGTGTAAAATATTTTGTTCTTGGAAAAAATGTTCAGAATCAATCATTTGCTTTGTAGCAACAGAGAAAGGGGAGAGAGGGCTTTTTCTCCACAGGGGAGCTCCCTGGTGCTCAGTTTTTGTAAGACTGGATACATAAGCTGCTGACTTGGATTCTGGATCATGCACTCACAGGGTTTCAGCAGACCTAAATGTTGAATGATTGAATGAATGAAGGAAGGAAGGAACAGATGTTATTTGGAGCTATTTGTTAAAGGACTGTCTCAGTGAGTAGGTCCATAGGATAGTACATTCTTGCCACCAAGAAAGGCCAGGCTTCCTTCTCCCTTTTATTATCGATGTAATACCCCTAGCCTGTCAAGAGAAGACTAACAGCATAGGTGCTGAATTTTCCAGTCCTTTCAGTTTGCAATCCTTTTTGGGAAATTTAAGCAATATCTAAAGACCCAAAAGTACCTGACTATTGTCACATTATTGTGGCAATTTTAGTTGCCAGTCTGGATTGTGACATGGTCATCCCAGCAGTCTGTAGAGAAAAGGTCCATTGTGATGGCTGCAAAATATGCCAAACTAAAGGACTATCCAGAAGCGAATTCAAGAGCAACATAAAAGCAGAGACAACTTAGATGTATTCTTGATATCCTCCTCATTCCTGCTGAAGACAAATCATTCTTCAGCCAGCAGGTCAGGACTGCTGGGGGCTGGGAATCAAGAAGTCCAGGTGTGCCCTGCTCCTACCCGTTATCACGGCATCATGGGAAAGTCATGCAGGCTCTCCTGCCTGATTTTTCTTTTGTAAAAGATGTTAGGACTTTGCATCCTTACCTTGGGGTGCGAAGGTCCAATGAGATGATGTTTTAAAAGTACAAGGTAACAAAAGCCAAAATAGACAAATGGGATCTAATTAAACTTAAGAACTTCTGCAAAAGAAAACAGCAAAAGAAACAGTCATTAGAGTGAATTGGCAACCAACAGAATGGGAAAAAATTTTTGCAATCTACCCATCTGACAAAGGGCTAATATCCAGAATCTACAAAGAACTAAAACAGATTTACAAGAAAAAAACCAACAAACCCATTCAAAAGTGGGCGAAGGGTATGAACAGACACTTTTCAAAAGAAGACATGTATGAGGGCAACAAACATATGAAAAAATGCTCATCATCACTGGTCATTAGAGAAATGCAAATCAAAACCACATTGAGATACCATCTCACACCAGTAGAATGGCGATCATTAAAAAATCTGGAGACAACAGATGCTGGAGAGGATGTGGACAAATAGGAACATTTTTACACTGTTGGTGGGAGTGTAAATTAGTTCAACCATTGTGGAAGACAGTGTGGTGATTCCTCAAGGACCTAGAAATAGAAATTCCATTTGATCCAGCAATCCCATTACTGGGTATATATCCAAAGGATTATAAATCATTCTGTTATAAAGACACATGCACACATATGTTCATTGCAGCACTGTTTACAATAGCAAAGACCTGGAAAGGATAGACTGGACAAGGAAAATGTGGCACATATACACCATGGAATACTATGCAGCCATAAAAAACGATGAGTTCGTGTCCTTTGTAGGGACATGGATGAACCTTGAAACCATCATTCTCAGCAAACTGACCCAAGAACAGAAAATCAAACACTGCCTGTTCTCATTCATAGGTGGATGTTGAACAGTGAGAACACATGGACACAGGGAGGTGAACATCACACACTGGGGTCTGTTGTGGGGGACTAGGGGTAAGGAGTTAGGGAAAGATAACGTGGGGAGAAATGACAGTTATAGGTGACAGGGATGGAGGCAGCAAACCACACTGGCATGTATGTACCTATGTAACAATCCTGCATGTTCTGCATGTACCCCAGAACCTAAAGTGCAAATATATATATATATATATATATATTTATTTTAAAAAAAGGAAAAAAGTACAAGGTAGAGAAGATAAAGTAGGATAATGTTTAGAAACACTCACTCATAGTCTGGCATTTCTTATTTCCTTTATTTCTCCTCCTATACATTTAGCTAAGCTGTCCTGTGCTGATTACCTCAGAATGACAGCAGGGGAGGAGGAGGCAGAAAGGGACCCCTTTCTGGCTTTTAAATTTCAAATCTTGCCCATGCAAGAAACGGAAGGCCTAAGCAGGCACAAAAGATTTTGGAGAAAACATGGCAAGTAAAATGAAGCATAAATCAAGTTAATCTCTATAATAAATGGTGAGTACCTAGGCTGGGAGCAGGGCTGAGAGGGAAGTCATGTGAGCTTAGTTACCTTAGTCCAGGTGGCAAAACCTCTACAGAGATTTGTGGGATCCAGTGGCTGAGAGGACTTGAGAAATGAAGTTATTAAGGAAAATGAGGGAAGAAATCTGTATTGGTCAGCATTCTCTAGAAAGACAGAACCAATGGGAAAGAATGGATAGATTAGATAGATAGGTAGGTAGATAGGTAGGTAGATAGGAGAGAAGACTAATTAAGGCAATGGCTCACACAATTATGGAGGCTGAAGGGTCCCATGGCAGGCTTTCCTGCAAGTTAGAAATTCTGAGATGCCAGTAGCATGGCTCAGTACAAGTTTGAAGGCCCCAGAACCAGAGAAGCTGATGATATAACTCTCATTCCAAGGCTGAAGGCCTGAGAACTCAGGAGGCTGCCAGTGCAAGTCCCACAGTCCAAAGGCCAGAGACCCTGAAGATCTGTTGTCCAAGGACAGGAGAGGAAGGATGTCCCAGCTCCGAGAGAGAGAGAATTAGAATTTCCTCTGCCTTTTGTTCTCTCCAGGTTCCCAACTGATTGGATGGTGCCCACCCACACTGAGGGCAGATCTTCCCCACTCAGTTTACCAAATAGCATGCCAATCTCCTCTGGAAACACCCTCACAGATATATCCAAAAATAATGCTTTACTAGCTGCTAGACTTTGGGTGTTTGACCTTTCCAAATCTCAGGTTGATATTTGATCCTCGGCGTTGCAGGTGGAGCCTGGTGGGAGGTTTTTAGTCATGGAAGTGGATCTATCGTGAATGGATTAGTTCTCTGAGAACTGGTTGTTTAAAAGCAAGCCTGGCACCTCCAGCCCTATCTTTTGCTTCCTCTCTCACTGTGTAATCTCTACACATGCCAGCTCCCCTTTGCCCTCTGCCCTGAGTGGAAGCATCCTGTGGCCCTCACCAGATGCCCAATCTTCCAGCCGGCAGAACCATGGCAAAATAAACCGCTTTTCTTTATAAACTGCCCCACCTCAGGTATTCCTTTATAGTAACAAAATGGAGTAAGACACCAGCGTCTAGGTATCCCTTAATCCAGCCAAGTTAACACATGAAATTGACCATTGCAGTTTCTCTTCTTCACCAAAGTATATGGGCTATTTTACTTTTGCTTGCTTTGCGAAGTGCTACCTCCATGACCCAGGGTGTTTCTCAGCAGCTCTAGAGTTTATCTGGGTACGCTGTCTCTGAATCTCTGAGGGGTCTCATCAAGGTCTCTTTTTCTCCAGTTCCATTCCATTTAACTCAAAAAACATTGTAACACTTACCCTGCCCACTGGAACCATGCAAGGCCTTTCATGCATATGGTGAACTCCCACCTCAAGCTGCTTACAGTCTGTACAGACAGGCAGCTTCCAGTCCCCACCTTTCAAGAATTAGAGCCTGAAAAGAGGTCAGAAGGGCTTGGGAATCTCACAGAGGAAGGAGAAAACAATAATACAATTATGAATAAGAAAATTTCCATTTAA